AACTGGAGTAACAATACAGAGAAGAGGAAACCATTAGTGCTGATTCAGGTGATTAACTGCCCTAGAACCACAACAATTCTTGTCCTACAACTGTTTTCTTAATTCGTACAATACAAAGTGAAACTGGAAAGTGAGTTGACTAAATGAAAGCAGTCTTAAATATTTTTCAAGGACTCTGGAGAAAAAGAAATACAGTTTTTCAAGAATTTTTCAAGCCTTTACCGGATCTCCAGGAAGCTCTTTCTGGTACACACTGCTCAATACAGTCTCAAACATTCACTACATTGGCATATATTCAATGAGGATATATGAGGATTTGTTCTTATATAAAGTAATGCTCTTATTTGCCATACAACTTTGCGAAATTTGAAAGATCCTATATGTCAGCATGACAACAGTCATGGTTTGCTTCTGTCTTTTAAAATTGCAAAGTACTAGCATATTTAGAGCAGTATCTATTTTTCGTGACTGTTTAAACTAAGAAGGTTTGAAAGTATGCACTACTGATGTTTGAGAGGATAGATGAAAAAAGCACCATAAGTCTCAAGACCTTTACCTTTCTTGAACGATGAAGCTGATGAAAGCATGGAAATGAATACATTTATATCTATAAAGACCCTCAACAAGTTAATAGCATGTCTTTTCTATGGCTACCAAAATCACACGGGACAGAATACTCCAGGATGCCTACATGGAGCAAAGGTTTTACTATGCTGGTCTGGACTGAAAAACTGACCTGTAAAATACACTTAATGAAAGTATTTTTTTCAACTCAGTACTGCCAGTGCCATGTCAGCATAGGCCCATCCATGTAGTAACAGAGGGTCAAATCCTGCTGATGTTTCTTGAACAGGCATCTCACTGCAATTCCTTGCAAAATTCCTTACCAATAAGTGCAGGCCAATTAGTCCTTATTTTCTAACTGAGAAGCATCTAAACAGCTTCAAGATGGCTGTGGTAATCTGATGTAGTAAGAGGCCAGAGGCAAGAGAAGCAGGCTTTACAGACAGGTGTTATAACCACTTAAATTTTGTACAACAGACCTGTATTATAGAATAAAGTGAAAACTTTACCTCCAATTGTTCAGCAGGTTTTGCATTTCAATACAGTACAAAAAGACATCAACAGAGAGAAACTTAGACAAATGCTACACTCTTGAAATAAGGGTACGGGAAGTACAGCTGAAGAATTCCTCACACTGACTCTTTTGCATGTCCAAGGAACCACAAGGCTTGGGTGAATAAATGTGCTGCAGTGGGAGACATGTGATAAAGAGACCTGACATTTCTGGTTTCCTGGAAGGCTAACCGACATCCAGCCCTTCCATTTCACTTCCAGCTACAAAGTACTCACTTTTGCATACAGAAAGGCTTCATCCACGGGGGATTTACTGGCAAACATTGTCTCTGTGAAAGCCTATGAAAAAGAAAGGACCTTTAGTTAGCAAAGGAGCCTGAACTGGTGTTTTTTTCACCTCTTGTCTCTTGAGGAAGGCCCAAAATCAGCTGGACCAGAACCAGAGGGTTTCACCACTTTGGTGAAAGTGCTGTCAAGACTAGAACCAATTAAGATGTATCCCCTATGAAACTGTATTTAGGGGATGACTGACTCCAGTTTTTGGGGAAAAAAAAAAAATTAGATGATTGAGGCTGATCCCATGGTTTGGCATTTTAGAAGTTGTCTCACCTGTGGATTCCCTCAGGTCTAATAGGATTGCCTTATGCAGCTTTTCCTTCAGAGGACAACCTGTACCTCTCTTTTCTACTTGGCTATCTATTTTAATAATATTTACGAAAATGTAACTGCATTTGAGGTATCTGTCAGATTTGTTTACAAGTGGCCAATGAGTTCAAAAGGTATCTGAGGGTGAAGGGGGAATGCAAACACACACATAGGAAACATCTTCATACAAATCCCATTTCCTCAAAATAAAAATAATAGATGGGAAATAAAATTATTTTGGAAAGCAGAGAGGAAGCTGGGAAGACAGTGAAAAGACTGGCCTTTGCTTTTAAACAAAGTCTAACACCTGCTGGCTTTTCTTCACTAGAGTTATGCTAATTGAGAGAACCTGGAAGTCCAAGCAGTCTTCCAGTTTCCCCTTGTCCTGTGGAGGAAGCCAAGGCCAGCCAGTGGTTGAGACAGAGCAGTTCAATAACAGGTTAGTCCAAAGCTCTCCTTCCAACTCATGTCACCTTACCAAGGGAATGCACTGGTTCATTAGGAGAGCACACAACCCCATTACCTCTGCTGTCACCCGGCCAGCTATCTTCATCCTCTCAATCTCTGCAGGGGATTTGATCAGCCGAAGGTTTTGCACAAGATGTCGAACGGCCTGGATGTGGTTTTTGCTCCGAGCTTTTACCTCAGCCAGGGGTTGCATGTAGTCAGAGTGCAGCTCTGCATGCACTGGTTTTCTCAAGTCATACCAAACCATGTTGGACTCACCTGGAATACAAAACAAAAGTTGACACAGACTAAAATAAATGCAGAAATGTCCTCCCCATACTAAACTAACTCACTCCTCCTAAACTAGATCTGTTGCTGTATCTGAGAAAAATAATTTTCTCTGAATTTACATTGACAGACTATATAGACACTTTCACTGTCACAGAATACCAACAATCTATTCTAAATTTGGAAGATTACCAATTCACAGCATATAGATTGGACAAATCCCCAGTTTTGGGCTAATAATGGGGTTTACAACCATCACTGAATAGATTTCCCATTGGAAAGCACTTCACCTTTTTGCTTGGAATCAAGATCATTATCAACACCTCAGAACACTTGGGGAAACAACTGCTTATTTCAGCCATTCAAAGAAAATGAGCTTACTGAGAACAGACACACTCACAGTGGAAATTTACTCAGAACATCAGTTAACACCAACGTTCTCCTCATGGAACATCTTACATGCAAATGAGTAGAAAAGCCATGATGAGTCACTGCTGATGTCCACCAAGGCCCTCCTTCTCTGGTGAAAGTAACTATTAGCAGGTGATTACAGACAGAGTCAAAGAAACTGGGCATTCATTAAAGAGTATTGCTCTTAGCTGACTTACAGCTTTTCATGGACCTCTCCCCCACAGAATAAAAAACTTCTGACTCCATTTAATTTTGATATTCTAAACTTCCATGAGTGATCTACAACCTAAGAGGTTCCAATCCATGTCATGTGATAATTTAATTCAGTGTTCCCTTTGTTTTTAAATTAAGAAAACTAGCAGTTAATCATAGTCATCCTCTGTGCTTTCCCCAACTATACACATCTCATACATTGTCTTGTTTTCTCTTTTTCAAGCTGAGTAGGTTTGTTCAGCCTGTATCTCACACACATTTCATGCTTTCTTTGATCATCCTTTGCCCTGTGACTTACCCATTTTCAAGACATAATTTTTTGAAACAAAATAACTCATTCCAATGTGGTATTTAATACTCCAGAATTCTCTCCCTCTAGTTGTGTGACCCCTCCAAAGTAACATTTGCCCTTATTATATTGTCATGAGCCTTCTTCAGCTTTATTTTATAATGCATTTAAGTTCCCCATGGATTATAACTTTTGAGGTTACATAGTGATGGGAGATACAAAAGAATATTTCTAAAGGACAGCAATGTTTGTATTTCACAAGCAAGTCATCATCTAGCTAATATGAGTGGACTAACAAGGTCCCTGTGTGAATTGCTTTCCAAGTCTACTATGAATAAAAAGTGTTCAAGTTTCCTGTATGTCATTTAGTTCTGACTCTGTCAGCAAAAAGATATGACTAAAACAGAAGCATGGTCTTGCTTATCCTGTTCCTTAATATATGCAGACTAGCATTCACATGGATATACAAGAAAGTCAGAAATTTTCAAAACTACATACCCATTGGTGGCCCTCAAAGAGCTAACACAAACTTCCAACTGCCTTTGCCACAGCTACTCTCCTTGCCCCTCCCCAAGTTCATTTTAGTTTCAAAGTGATGTCATAGACCACCTCCCAAACCTGAACCATTCAGACTCTGCAAACCACATCCTCATCTCATTTCCTCTCTAGTTTTTGTTACCTTTCAGCTTGGCCACCAAGTGCCTGAACTCCTCAATGGTGTAAGCTTCATCTACTCCTGTGAGAGCAATTGCCCCATCTGGGCCTGATCTGGGCCCATCCCACAGCTCTCGATTTGGATCCCTCCGGGGCACAAAAAGTATGGATTTGTGAGATGGCAGCGCTTTGCCAGGAATGCTCTGCAGCACCAGGATGCTGTCAGGCTCCTGAAACCCACAGAGGTATAGGAAATTAGTGTCCTGGTGAAAAGTATAGGGGATGTCATTGCTCATGTAGTACATGGGGTTGGACAGCAGAATCACTGTGTGGTCCAAACCATCCACGCTTTGGGCTTCCTTCTGGATCAACACCATCAGTTTGTGTCGGCGAAGAGCATATTCCACTTGTGACAATCCTGGGGTTACCTCTCCTGTGAATACAAAACAAATCAGATGGAGAAATTCAAGGTTCTAAGGGTATTTTACTAGTCACATGCCTGATTTCCTGCCTACTCCCTGATGCCTTACATGTGCATGCCTTCTTAGAAACCCCTCCCAAGCCTTCCTCTTGCTCCTCTTCAGCTTCCCATCTCTACAGCACATCCTCATTTAGGCTGCTTCTCCATCATGCAAAGAGACATTGGTTCTAACCAATTGGATGCTGTGTTATTTCTGTGCAAAGGTAGAAATGACAAAACCTGATAGATTTAGACAAACATTCAAATGTTTGCAGAGAACGTGAAAAAAAAAAAAAAAAAAAAAANCTCTACAGCACATCCTCATTTAGGCTGCTTCTCCATCATGCAAAGAGACATTGGTTCTAACCAATTGGATGCTGTGTTATTTCTGTGCAAAGGTAAAAATAAAAAAACCAAATAGATTTAGACAAACAATAAAATGTTTGCAGAAAAAAAAAAAAAAAAAAAAAAAGAAGGGGCAAGGCAAACTGAACTTTGACCACTAAAAACTGATGGGTTTTACAGCATGGACATTGAACAGAAGATTGCCTCCTGAGGTTGAGCATTAATTTCCTTAGACACAGCTAGAATGTTTGTTCAAATACACACTAAGTCAACTCATAAAATGACTATTTCTAAACCACAAGGGACAGATTGAGTGTCAGAGATTCTAGGAGATCAGGCAGAAACACAGAGGTTACAGAGTCTAACCAGTCACAAGATTCCAGGCAGAAACAAACCATGGACAGCAGGCTGCCATCAGACTCCTGGTTAAGGGAAGGGATCTTCTCCAGGGCAAATGTAGCTTTTGTCAGTATTTAACAATTCCAATTTCCGAAGTTAAATACTGTATTTCTAATAATACTAACTAAGCAAATGATCTCTCAGATGAAGGTACTCTTTCAACTGCTCCAGTTGCAAAAGACATGAAGTACAGCAATCAAGATACTCACCAAAACGGGACTGAACTTCAAAGGACAACCAGCAACCGCTGAAGTATGTATTTTTTAAATTGTGAGACTCCCTAATTATGATCTAAATTAATATAAGAGCCTTAACCAGTACTTTGGCTAATACCCTACCTTAAGATAGGTTGAATTTTGATACTGTTTGTTAACTTTCCACTTTCATAATATTTTCTTCCTCTTTCATGTATTATACAGTGGCAATTCTAGAACAAAAATTGACATTTGACTTGTACTGCAAGTAGATTCTTGCATGAGTGCAGTGGGAGGGGAAAGTTCTATTTGAATTATTTTTACACCTTTTTGATTATATCCTCAATATCTATTAGATGTAATAGTCTTTAAAAAGAACCATAGAAACCCAAAACCCCACCACATTTATTTTACTCTGTGAATGTAGAAATTACAAAGAACACAGAAACTGTTTTAATGCAATCTGGCCTCACAATTCCACAAAGTCATACTGCAAATTTCCTATGCTCCACTGCATTCCAGTCAGCAACTGTGAGGTCTGGAAATTTTCTTTGTATTAAAGGCATTTGCTTTTTAAAACAGTAATTGTGATAAAACAGTGCCATAATATTTTAAGGAAACCATCTCTAATTTATTAAATGGAAAAATACTTTTGATAGTTAGAATTCACTTCTAGTGGTTCAGCTACACTTTAAGGAGTCAGCCTCGTTTATTGTGAGCTGTCAATGAGTGCCCTAAGCAACCTGATCTAATGCTGAAGTTAGCCAGCTTTGAGCACAGGGGGAACCTGTGCACTGAGGTTCCTTCTGACCTGAATTATTCTACAATTCAATACAGGTGCGTGTGTGTGTATATATACATATATACATATATATGCACACATACACACACGTAGTCATCTGTTCTCTCTTTATACCCATGTATGGAAGAACACAGAATGTTTTTCTAGACATATTCCTGAATATAATTTTGCTGCAATTTTTTTGTTTTTTAGATTTAATTGTGATGATCTTATGTCTACATGCTCATTTTCATGAATCTCAAAAAAAATGCACAACCTCAGTTTCTATCACTACTGTCTAACTTCCAGTCACAAGCTTCTTTTTCTCCTTCTTCTCATATTGAATACTCCTCTTAACAGGGCACATTCTTTAGACAAGTGGCATTCATCTATCAGTATCCCTCGCCATTCATCTTTGCTGAACTGCACTTTTGTTTTTGTGACTCACAAGAAATGGGATATGAACCATTCTGACCATTCAGCTTGCACAAAAGACTCCCTCTTAATAAAAACCGTATTTATTTGCAGGACATCCAGTCCACAAAATATCACTGCCACAAAAGGTCTGCAGCACCCAAGTAAACAACCTTGAGGACATCATGAGAAAAAAGAAAGAAGCTATGAAAACATCACATGTGAAGCCTATTTTTGGAATCAGTATCATCTCAGACAAGGAAATTATCTATTAAATATAATTACTGACTAATGAAGGTAGTCATAAACACCTGAAACCACAGACAACTCTATGATGCAGCAAATCAATACACTCAGAAAAATGGAGACAAGAAAATATCAATGACTGGTTCACAGAGAGCCCAAACCTCACCTGGTTTGAGCAGATGTGGGTGTGTGAAGGGGCTGGGCTGGCCCAAATAACGGTTTGGAATCTTCTTCTGCTGAGCAGGTTGGATGGAAAATCTTCGGAGAGCACATGACTTGCAAACTAGAGGAAAAGAAATGCACCATGTCACGGTAAAAAAAAAACTTTCCAGCCAGGAAACTGGAGAACTGTGGTCTAGTCATCAGACTCTTAGCAGCATTCCTTCACTTACATGACATAAATATCCCTCCTTAACTTCTCCATTTGCTATGCATCACAATAGTTTATGAAACAATGTGCACACAACTCAACTGACAATCAAATATTCATAGAACAGATAGAAACAAATACGTACTAAGCCTGACAATCCAGCTACAAAACCCAGAAAGCTCGGTTGGTTTGCACATCCCAATTCATAAAAATGGTGTTCATGATGCACTCAGCACTCTCCCTCCCTTGATTCCCTCAAACATCACAGGACTCCAAGCATGACACTTGTATATTGTCTCTTCTTGACTATGTCTTCAAAAAATTTCTCTCATCTGGAACAATTATACAGTTTTCAAGGCTTTTCCAGTTCTGTTTTTTACTAATAACGCTGGAAAGAAACCATCAAATAAGGCAGGTTTACACAGGAATGTGATTTTCTTTTCCTGTCTGGAGGATACCTGAGAGTCCCTGTTTGAGTATTGACCTTCCCTGGCAGCAGCATTGGCCAAACGGAACCGTTATGAATCCCACTTCCAAACCCACACACAGACAAAGAAGGTAAGTTTTAAAGACAACTACAAGTATGCATTTGTGAGCTGGGAATGGGCACGATAAAATCTAAAATTAAAAATTGTCAGAAACTTTAGAATTCTGTCACAGCCTTTTGCAGCTGAAGAAGTGTTTGTGCCTGAATACAACTCATCCAGACCTGTAGGAAGGAGACGGCAGTCAGAAGGTAAACATCTATTTGACGTTTTGGAAAGTGGTTGCTCTTTATGTTACTTACCATGTGCCTACTAGAAAAACAATTTGTGCTGCCATTCTTAGAACAAATACTTCTAACTCTTCACCAGCATAAGCAAGGATAACACAAGAAAACATCTGCCTTTCAGGTAGCTGAGAGGCAGAGGCTTACAGCAAAACATACAGACCATGGATTTGCTGCGGGAGTCAGTGTGATTAGCCTCTAACTGAAGATCATTTATGCATGACAACCAATAGTAATAACATGAAGCGTTCACTATGTGATGCTTGACTGGAGACCCGGGCGGTGAAATGTAACTGCAGTTTTTTTGTGCAGTCTAGTTTAAAATGGGTATTTCTACTGTTATTCTCCACGTACACAGCAGACAAACAGGACAGCTCGCAAGGAGACGGACACAGCGGGCATTAAATAAAGCAACACCTTGAAGTCAGCGAGCAGCTTTCTACCGTTGTTTTATTACTCAAATTACTGCCTGTTCCTCCCTAGGATTGAGCTCTGACCGGGGCTGCCACTGCGCCGCTGGGGAGAGCCGCTTTCCTCGACCCGAGAAGCGAAAGCGGGGCTGTAATCTGCGATACCGCGTGCGGCTACCGGAGCCGCGGGCGGCGTTAAGAGCGTGGTGGAGGAGAGGTGTCTGACCTGCGGCGCCGCGCCAGCCCCGGGCCGCCAGGACAAGCCCCTGCAGCGGGAGACGCGACATGGCGGGGCCTCCCTGCGCCGCGGCGCCGCGCGCTGACACCATCCCCGCGCGCGGCCCGCCGCCAATGAGCGCCCCGCGCCGCCTGCCCCGCCCGCCAGCGCGGGCTGGCGCCAACAGCGCGGGGCCGCGCACGGCTGCCGCTCCCACAACGCCTCCCCCACTACGCCGCGGAGGCCCGCGGCAATGACTGGCGTGGGCGGGGTCGGGGCCTCGGAATGGGATCGGCAGGGCGGGCTGGAAGGTTCCGCCGCGCCGCGTGACGTTTGCGGGCGGGAGGGAATTTGGCACGGGCGGAGTCAGTGGTGGTGGGCGGCACCAGACCAGTTGTGGGCGGGGGCTCCGGCGGGCGGGGCGGGCTGGAAGGTTCCGCGGCGGGTGGGCGGGGGAACGAGCGCGCCTGGGCCGCCGCCGTGCCGCCATGGACTCGCGCAAGCTGAGTGAGCTGCGGGCCTTCGTCCGGCTGTGCAAGCAGAACCCTGGCCTGCTGCACAGCCCGGAGCTCGCCTTCCTCCGCGAGTGGGTGGAGAGGTCGGTCCCGGGCCGCGGGGGGAGGCGGCGGCGAGGGGCGAGGGGCGAGGGGTGTTGTGGCGCGGGAGCGGTGAGGGGAGGGGGTGTGCCTGCTGAGCGCGTGCCGGCGCGCGCGCGCGCCGCGTGCCCGGGCCGGGGGGCGCGCCGCCTCGCCCCCGCGGGTCCGGCCCGCGCTGCGGCCTTCCCGCCCTCTCCCCCGCTGCCCGCTGGGAATGCTCCTGGCGCCTTAAAAACGTCTGCTCGTTTTTTGTTTTGTTTCGTTAACTCTGGCTGTGCCCGCTGCAAAAAGCCTGCCCCCCGGCCATCTCAATGGCTCAGCTTTCCAGCCTGGAAAGCCCCAGAGTAATACTTACCGAGCTAATTCTCGCATTACGCAGCAGAGTTGGCTAGCCTGTCTTAAAAAGGAACCGAGTTTGTGGGGAGGTGAGTGACGTTGACTTACATCCTGGTACCCAAAAGCATAAAATACCTGGCAGCTACAATTTCTGTCCGAAACGTGGTTTGCGCTTTGAAGTTTAATGTCTCAAAGGTATTCTCCGCTCCCTGTGAGCCATTTGGGTACCTGCTGTTCACGCTGCACATGCTCTGTGTGAGCGGGGCCTGCCGTAACAGGTGCTTCCCAAATAAAAATTCTCTTTGGGTTCCACCCTGAGAGCTCTGAAGCACGAGGCTGGAAGGGTTGGGATTCTTTGCTGCTGACTGAGAACCCCACAGAACCCCTGGGTTCAGCTATGGTGCCTCTGCTTGGCTTTTATGGCTGCTGTACTAAAGAACTCTTGAGAAGTGAGGGACATACTTTCAGGTGCACGTGTTAAGCAAAGAGAATTTAAAAGATTTTTATCTAGTGACAAACTGGGATTTGTTTTAGAAAATTTTTGTTAAATACCAGGATTTTGTATGTATAGATAAATATAAACCTACATATATAGAGAGAAGTAAACACTGACATTTCACAATATGTCCTATAATGAAAACGGCTACAATTAAGTGTTTATTCGTGGTCTTTTTTCAGTGATATTTAAATTTTTTATGCATCTGAATAAATCTGTGGTTGTAAAACCACTGGTATTTAGTTGAACTTGCCTTTATAGTACTGACAGTAGATATGCTTCTGCCTAGGAAGGAGATTGTTATCTGTCTCATCCTACTGCAGGTCTTTATTCCTTTTGGTATTGCATAAAATACTTTGGTGCCCTACCCTAGGCTTCTTCCAGTACTTCTGTTGCATAAATCTGAAGGTGTGGACAGGCTACTGTAAGAGGGAGGGGAAGAACTCTCACTTCTTCTTGCCTAAGAAAGTGTTAGGGAATGGAAAGAGGACTATCTGACTTTCTCTATGTTAATGGGAAGGGCTTTAAATTCCAGATTAATTTTTAAAATTTGTATTTGGTGCTTGTCTTATAAATACAGTAATTACATTTAGAGCCATGGAATGTTTTTTACATGTAAAATCTTCACTGAATGTTTTTATCTCAAAAGTTTAAAAATTCAGAGGTCCAGAGTAGAACCTCTTCCAGCACTCTCAAATTTTCTGGTTTTCTTAACATATTTAAGTTAAATATTTGCCTAAGAGATACACTTGGATGGTGGTTGTGGTACCCAAATTACACTTACCATGCAAAATTGTCTGGAATTCTGGTGGGGTTGCCTCTGCCTTTACATAGGAGTGTTGTGTGCAGTAGAACTGTTAAGTGCATTATAGGGCCTGATCATTATTTTGAAACAGCTTCAAACTGCATGGCCTGCCTTCAGGTGGGAATAAACTCAAGAATTCTTATATCTCTGTCTGGCTTACCTGACTTAATCTGAAAGACATAGGTTTGTTTGCCTAGGTAGTGTTATAAGTGATTAGAATAATGACTAAATTATACTAAAATCCATAATTATTTTTTTAACTAAAATTCTGCTAATTGCTTTGATTTATTTTTTCCTTAAACCTAGTGATTCTAATTTAAATTTTGCTAACTACTCATGAAGCCAGAATGGGGATGCTTTATTTCTTATTAGCTGTTAATTTTGCATCAGTAACCTTAAGTCTTACCTGTTTTCATTCACTTGTTGTTTTCTAACCCTTATTCTGCCTAGCTGCTGTATTTAATTTCTATAGCGATGCTCTTTGTAGAGAAAGCATTGGGTAGTGTGTGAGTGTGCTTGGAAAGTGTTTTGACATTCCTTTTATCAAGCCCATTTTTTCATAATTGCATAAAAATACAAATGTTTTACTTGAATTATTGTGAAATGAGTCATGAAAGGAAACATGTTGCAAAACTCTGCAATTGAACAAAGAAACAATAGCAGTCCTTAAAAATAAACTACAGAATCCCTAATTGATGAATAAGGCTTTTTGCCTTTTTTGTTGTTTTGTTCAAATAGGTTTTTACCCTTTTGAATTAATGGTAATCCGATTTCTCTCTAAAGATAATTTTGCTGTCAGTAATAAAAGTGGTTGCAGAAATCACATTTGCAGTTCTTCCAACTAGTCATAAACGTGACACTTCTCATGGTCCTGATGAGTGGAAATAGGCAGTCACTGTTGCAATGGAGTCCTGACTACTCCCAGTTGTTACTGGCATCACACACTAAACTCTTTGTGTGTCTTGTGTGTGTTTGTGCTTTTTCTACAGCTCAGTACCTGCCTTTCCCTACAAAAGTGTCTTGTGTTTCCATATACTGCTGAGGTTTAATACATTGCAAACATTGCATATATTTCTGCTGTGTATTCCAACATTGTTATCAAATACTGGGCTAAGAGATTTTAGAGTAACTTTCTTTTGAATTATTCTGGGATTAGAACTGTAGTTTAAATAGATATTACTATACCAGAATAGCAAG